TACATACATCAATCGAATAATACGTAATCAACCAAATGCATAATCATCAATCCAAACGAATAACTTCAATTCAAAAATATAATTAGCAAAAGGGAGAAAATAAGGAATAGATGAAACCAAAATTTTTATTGAATTTATGCCAATGTGCGATCAATCCTCAAGAGTGTCACGTCTCTTTTAATCCTTGAATTAGATGAAAATCTAAGCCTCCATAGATGGAGAGAAACAAGTCGTAAAAGGGAAGAAAAAAAATGAAAAAAGAGAAGAGAGGAGAGGGGCCAAAAAATTAAAATCAAAATTCAAAAATTTAAAATTCAGTTCGTCACTTTGTTCCTTTTTTTCGGCTATGAAAACCGCCTCTTTTTGGTTCGTGGCCTAGAGGAAAATTGTAGCATTGGATGTTAGCTTCAAAACGCCACTGGAATGGGTTTAATCGGATGTCTGTGGACTGAAATATGGCCCAAATACTGCACCTTACTCAGGATCCGCAACTACAGTGTTCTGACTTTTTCCAGGCCCAGTTTCAGCTTCTTATTTTCAAAATTGGTTTCTGACCTCTCATAGGAATTGTGCACCTTTCTCTTAGCTTTCCTACAAATCAAGAATCATAATGAAAGGAGTTCTACAACTCAATATATGGTCCAGAAACCAAAACAGTATCAGAATTTGCCAAATATTGGAAAAATTAAATAAAACACAAATAAAATTTAAACATCATAAAATGATCCAATTCAACCAATTAGGCACAAAAGAGGATTAATGAGCTAGGAATGAGAGGAAATAATATTATAAAAATCCAATTGATCAATAGCTAGGGCTATGGAAACTATTATTCATGAATTTATGGGGTTTTGATGTTTGAATCTAAATTTGATTTCTGTTTCGTGATTAGATTTTATCCTATTGCGCTTCTCTATTAGTCTTAATTAATTATATCGTCAGACGACCGTACCTCGGTTAATTAATAGATCTACAGGGTAAAACGAGACAAAGGATTAGGTGGACCAAACCAATCTTTTTCTTCTAATCGTTATTAAATTAACAAGTTCATAAATTCTTTAAGCTTTCTTAAATTAATGTCTTGCATGACCATTGGGGATGTTAATTTAGAGAAAAGAATATTAATATTGCATGACCATTGAGTATTAATAGTATTCGTATCAATGATTGGTAATCACAAGGAAATCAGATTTAGAGTTAAACAGAAAAATAACATAAAGGATTGAATGAGAAAACCTATATGCTCTAAGTTCCTCTCCGATAAGTTTAACCAAGACGTGCATTGTATTCCTTGCTCTTAGTTTTATAATTGATTTTATAAATTCTTGTTTTTAATTAATCTCGTATCTTTGAAGCTTAAACAATTGAATTAAGAAATTCTTAGTAATTGAAAAATAATCATTGTGGGACGATATTTCGGGGACTTAATTTAAGAACTCTTTATTGCTTCTTGATGGGTACACTTGCCCTCTGAACAGATATCTTGCAACCTACATAATTTAAACTCTCTAAAATTCAAATAATTTCACAAATATAACCAACATTCAATGTTATAATAATAAATATAAAAAATGAGGATGTTACAAGATCTGACAAAATCATCTGAAAACTTCTTATAATAATATACTAAATTGTTTCAAACATCGTTTGATAGTTAAAGTAAGCTCCCTTTACCTTAGAATAACGATTCACATCAGATCTACCGAATATTACTTGTTTTATGGCAAGATCTACTAAAAATTTAGCTTTACAACAAAATTTCTCCAAGATATCATCAATTATCTATAAGAAAGAGAAAAAGAAGAAAAATGAACAGTAAATCTAACTTCAAACTTATAAAAACTTATTTCAGATCCTTCAGAACAAACATAGTAGAATCCCAAATCTAATGAGAAATTTAAGTTTAAGAGGATTTAGTATGAGAGAAAATAGTGGTATATGGCCTTGGATTTCTCTAGAACCTTTGAGAAGGGTAAATAAATGAAAATTTCGTGCAAGGCTCCTTATTCATAAGTAAAATTTTTTTAAAAAAAATTGACACTGTTACACTGACTCACTATTCATACTAAAATTACTGTTTACGCCAGATTTACTATTTACACCGACTTTGCTTTTCACTTTTATTTTTATTTTTTTAATAATTTCAAACTCTATCTAAATTTATTCTAATACCAAATAATTTTTTAATTAACATTTAACAAGTACAAAACATTATAGATTACTCAATAATAAATTACAATCTTGACAAATAAAATTCATTTTAAGCATAGATTTAAGAACTTTACTGATTGGTTTAATCTTTAACGAATTGGACTGGGAAAAGATTAAGCGTTTAGTGAATCAATTATAGAACTGAAATTCAAATTGAATCTAAAGAATCTTAAACATGTATATTGCTTCAAAATTTCAAAAACATTAAAATAATTAGTTAAAAAAATTTAAAACAAGAAGCTACTTTTTAAAAAAATTATTTTTGGATCACTTTTGGTTGTCACTTTAAAAATCAAATTGCATTTCTCATAATATACACAGGAGGAAACCAACACATTCCTTTAATCCTTTCAACCTATTCCTAATTATTGACTCTTTTATATATATATATATATATATATATATATATATATATAAATATAAAAAAAACATTAATTTATAAATGAGAAAGAATAAGACAAACATAATTTTTATAATTTGTAAATAGAAATATACTAATATATATTCTTTTAAAAATTAATTTGACGATTAGCTTTGAGTAGTATGATTTTATTGAGAAAAATTTTATTGTATAAGTTTAATTTTAATGTATTATTAATATAAAAAAATGTATAGTGTTAATAAATTAAAATACACTATAGATATAATTTTATATTAATTATTATAAAATTAATATTTCATACTGATGTGATAATTTATGATTGGATAGTAGTATAAAAAAAATTACACTATTAGTATATTAAATTAAATTCTTATTAATTATATAAAATCACTCTTAAGTATTGAAATTAATATTTTAAAAAAAAATATTATTGTATTCTATTTATCAATTATTATTAGTCTATTCACGTACCAATAATTTGTGTTTTGAAGTTGGGATTGGAATGTATGATTCAAGAGCCATACAAGTTAACTGAGTTTGTTTGTTTAAACCATCACTTGAACCTAGATCCAACTCCATTACTCTTTTGTGTCTACATAATAGATAGTAATAATAATTTAAAAATAAAGCTTACTTGCAATATTATTTATGTTTTAAAATATTGCTCTCCAATTAAAATTAAAATTTTACTTAACAATATTCTATAATAAAAATTATCATTAAAAATCTGACATAAATATACACGAAATCTTAATAGACTAATTTGAAACTCAATATATAACCATAAGCTTTGAGCTGACTCTCGAAATAAGATTAGTATTAGAGAATGGGTATATTGTATATTTTCATTTTTCTAGTGAAAATGTATAAAATGCCTTTAGTTTTTTCGCGGATAAACTTACATTTATGTTACATCATTCGTTCGTCAGCCAAGTATCTTATGATTTGAATTCAAATAAGCAATAGGCTTATCTTTTTTCCCAGCTACGATTACATATCTTAATGTCTTTTAGAACTAATTTGTTTGTTTTCTCTCTAAAATCCTCTTCCTAAATTACAAGGGGCTCAGTAGCCATATATAGCACTATTGTATTTTATGTGTTTGAAAAGTTCTTTGGCATAATAATTGAATTTCTTTTACTCAAAAAGTGTGTATGATGATGGGAAATGATATGAGTACTTAATCGGGTGCAAGCTCAAAGCCCTTATAAAATAATTCTACTGCTCATTTTTTATGTGATTTCTTAGTGTAACTGTTGTATTTGACTCCAAAAGTAACAGATCAACAATGAGTTTACACTGTGTTGAGAAGGTCCATAGTTGTACCAATACTTCTTTCAATGCCAATCACGGGAAAAGCTGTTTATGGTGGCGTTGGGTGGAACCCTGCAAAGTGCTAATTAGTATCATCTTTGCGATTAGAAGCTCCACAATTATGGAAAGGGTATTGGTTTTCTGGTTAGGGAGGTATCTTGCTGTTTCAAAATAAAGCCTATGAAGCTCAAGAACATGTCCAAATAGGAACCAAAATAAATCAGATTGTTAGAAGTTTAGGTCTAGCATATCAGATTTAATTTAGGTCAGATTAAACTCATTGAATATGTTAAATCAATATTTTTTCAAAAAATATTTGATTATAAAATTCAAGTTTAGTCCATTTAAATAAATATAAATAATATAATGGTTACAAATTATTACGTAAATCTATATTATTATTATTATTATCATAGGATTAAATATTTAGCATTTTCATTATTTGTTTATTTAAAGACTCAATCACATTAACCAACACATAAATTTAAGTTTATTAATTTTCTTCTTTATTTAATATTATATATATATATATTTATATATATATTTTAAAATCCTACTCAAATCAAATAGGATCATTGCGAACTATATATTTTTTTAAAATATTTAATGCAACTACATAACTTGAAATTGAAATTAATCGTTAATCTATTTAAAGCTAAATTTTTAAAGAAACTTTTGTAACAAATCAACAAGTACTTTTAAAAAAGCATACCAAACTTTAAAAAAAAAAAAATCAAAACTTAAATGTTATAAAATATAATTAGTCTAGGTTATTCTATTTTCATACTTAAGAGTATGAGATCTTATAATCAATTCAAACTTAAAATTTATAAAATCTAATTATTTAGTTTATTCTATTTCCATCATTAGTACAAGAGATCTTATCCTTGTAAGTCACATTTGAAGAGAAGACGAGACACAATATTGATGACACCTTAGAAGACTCCTAGGCTATTGGAACAAGGATGTACTATATTTTAAGGCTTTTTGTCTAGTAAAAAGAAACAAAGTTTACCTTGGTTTAGCTAAAATGTTAAAGTTGCTATTAGGATGTATTTACACGAAATACCAAAAAGCATCCATAAGGGATTGAGAATGTATATGTATCAGTAAAATAATGATATTGTTTTTAGGTTATGATCAAACAGCCTGAAAGATGATTGAAGTACAACTAGAAGTGACCAACAAGCCCAACTAAGGGGGTAACTGACTATTCAATTTTCCTTCTCCATCGCATTCTATATTTTTCAAATTCACAAATCCCACAGCATTTAAATTTGACTGTTCAAAACACAAATTATAGTAATAATTTACATAAATAAAAATTTTATTATATTTCTCAGTTCCTTTACCCGTCATATACTTGGGCAATGCTATGCCGCAGCTTCACTAGAAGATGGCTGCAAAAGTGTAGAAGATGAGTCTAGAGGCTCGTGCACTACCGAATTTGAAGAAACTGATATGGGATTTCCCTCCAACTGCAACATGATACTCCCCAGTATTTCAGTCAAAATTTTCTTCAACTCATCTTCTTTGACCATTTTCCCATCATCTGCATTCATCACCTTAAAGACTTCACCAATGACCTTATCCATCTGTAAAATCAAACATGTGAATGTTAAATAAATTGCTAAGGAAACACCAACACTCAAAAAAAAATGTTACACACTTCACATACACTTTGAATATACCTATACAAAAGAGAATACCACAATAATTAGACAAATTATAACATCTTATTTTATCTACAGAGACTCGTGTTAACTTTATCAATACTCTTTATTGATGTAAAATTTGTATATACTTTATACAATAAACCATGTTGTGTTGAAAAAAGAATTCTACCCTCCTCCTTAGATACATACTCTTCCTTATACAGTAACATCTACCTTTATATAGTTATCTTTTTCTTGATTTAAAATTTAAATTAAAAATAAAAAAGAATTTAACCTAAATTTACTTCTTGTGGCGTCATACAACTTTTAAGAAAGTTTTGCTATTACTAAGGCAATGGCTAAATAATTAGTAAATAAAAAAATAAAAAATTACAGAAAGTTCTTAAGTGGATGCATAGCTTTAATTAAATGTCTATTTAATAAGTTTTTCTTACATGAGATCTTATGCTATAAATTTAACTATAAAATTTATTAAAATAAACTTTAAAAAATTATTTTAGTAAGTTATATAAAAAATTATCTAGATTAAAATAAAAAAAACTTAGAAAAATTATAAACTACTTCCATAACTTGTCTATAAAATTTTCTAAATTAGCCGCAGAGGTACATCTATAATATTAAATAATGTCTTTCCCCTACTTAAAAGGGTTTACTCATCGTTGTGTTAAAAAGGTTTGGCTATTTAGGCAACGAGTAAACATATAATAAATTTTTATTAAAATTTATGAGAATATATTAGTATCAATTTTGAATAAAAAACTATAGTTTTTTATATTTTAAAAGCATTGATTAATATTTATTCATTATTAATAAAAAAATTTACATTTTGATATTTTGACTATTGTCCTCTGCAAACCTTTTTTGAAATTTGCCTTTCCACAATAATTCCGGGGATGATATGCAGAACCTCGTGCCAATGGTGAATTTTGTCTTTTCATTGACTTATCATAAATCATATTACTCCCGCATTAATTACAAACCGTTGAATGAAATTAGAACATTGCACGAGAGATGTGACATATAAACTTCTGCATTATATTTTCAGTATGGTTTAGTATTTTACCTCAAATGTCTATCTAGTAACTTGGATAGAGTTAAAGCAACAAAAGAATAGATGATAATAGTGAAGCTGAAGATGAATTTGTAGCATGTGTTGACAACTTACCTCTTCAATTGCACCAACTGGAGGTAAACCAGCAGATGGAGCCACCACATCCAGTGCCACCCTTAGATACTCCTTTGACATCTTTCCATTTCGATCTTTAGGCAAATTCTCTAAAGCTGAGTTCAAAGTCTGCATGCATCCCATCATAGATTGGTTAATCTTAATCCCATCAAAACTTTAACAATAATAAAGATTATTTCAAGGAACCACAACTAAAATAAACCTTGTCTAATTCAAACTTGTTGGATAATAGTCTCTTAATGCCACTTCCATCAAAGGTGTTCTCACTATGAGCAACTATCACAGGTTGCTCCTTAAGACGATCAGCCACACTCAATGCTACTTTCTTAAATTCCTCCAAAAATGTCTCTTGAGAAACAGGCTTATCCAAACAAGAGTCATCTTTAGATAGCAGTGCCGGTTCCACAATATTGGTAAGGACCTAATCAAAGATAGATAAGCCAAGAGAGGAAGGAAATGACATAAGTTTGATAATTTTTATCTTTTTGGTTATGAAGTATATAATGAACTTCTTAGCAACAAGTGAAAATATGTTTTAATCGTGTTTTAATTTCTCATATCTCTAAAGAAGGTCAAAGATATTGGTACGAATTGACTACCCAAGAATCTGATGTAGGAGGAATTCCTTGATCAACAGTGAGCTTGCCTAGAGCTTCAATTATATGATCATGAAGTGACCGATCAGGGGATTCAATCTGAGAGAAAATGGATGCCATTTCTGCTTCATAACCTGAACTATTAACAAACTCCAGAAGATCTTCCCCATCAATGCGAAGAATCACAATTGGGTCTCGCTTCAATCCAGCAGCCATGCCCAAAAGAATGTCTGAGAGAACCTCTTTGAACTCACTCTTGCTCACTCTTTCTTGCTTCCCATGTGTGAATTCATTCAACACCTATGGAATAAGTTACTCAACATGTCAATTCTTGCTTTGTGATTGGTTCAAACATAATGGCCAATCAAAGTCTTGCTCACACAAATATAATTATAATCTTATGAGGAGAAAAATAATCCGTTTAATCCTCATTATGTCACGTTATTTTAAAATCAAGTGCTATTTTTTTCTTCTTGTGACTAAGGTAGTTTATACTTTACATATTTATTGCTTGCCCATCTTTAGTAGTTAGGTGAGAAAGCTTTTCCCCCAAAGTATGTCGCTAAAGAAAACCTTTGCCTGTCCCCACAAGAACATTGCCTTCAGAATGCAGCTAGTGGCCTGGGCCATGTAATTTACTCATTGACTATAATAATAGAAGTTTGACTTTTAGTACCCAAAAGTCTAACTCAAAACTTTCTAGTAGCATATTATGAGTATAAATTATTAGTTTTAAATCCAAGTATAGCATAAGTTTAAAACAGCACAAATCATTATTAGTTTAATTTATATTAGAGCCTAAGGTCCAAATGCCAGCTTATTGTTAGTTTCTACCACATTTCTCACCAGATTCCTCCTTATAAGGAGATGAGAAAACGACCACAAAAAGTTAAGTAGCGCAGAGAAATCAATTGTAAGTTTGCAACCAAAAGCAGAGTCCCACAGGACCGACCAACTTATCATATTGATGGATAGGTCCAAATTGTCATAAAGAGATTAGGATGCTTCTGGGACCAACTATAAGTCAATTTTTTTATTAAAAAAACTTGCTCTATAATGGCCCGAAAAGGATATATATATTCCAAGCAACAAGTTAATTTTTTCCAAAAAACATATAGTCATATTATATAAAACATTACAAGAACAAATCATTTTACGTCTGCTTCTCCATCCACATTTGAAGCATTAAAAACAAAAAATGTTGGAAATGCGCCAAAGACATTGGATAAAAACAAAGCTTAAAGCCTTAAACCACAAACGAACAATGTTTTAATAAATAAAAACAACAGACATTGGAACCGAAACAAATCTGATGAAGATATAATGACATCACACTGATAATAAGTTAATTATTTTGCCTTGGACACGACCATAATTTATTAGAACCATGAAAACATTAGAATTCGTAATGCCACCAAAACAAAACCCAGAGAAAAAGTCTAAAGCATATACGCCACAATATCTTAGCAAGCCGATTAGACACCCAATGCAACAATCTCGTCTTTCGGTTTTTCTCTGTTGCGTAATTCAAATAATTAGGTGGTGAAAATTCAAGTAAAACTAATACAAATAAAATACTATCAATATTTATATAATAAATTGATTACCTTTTACAAATTGTTTTGACTTTTTTAAAAAAAAAATTGAACCACAGAGATGTATTCAAAAGATACTGTGGTGTTAGCATTTGCGAAAGTAATGACAACTTTTCATGTAGAGAAAACTGATCTTTCCATGCCAAATGTGGCAGAATCCAAAGGAATGAATAACTTTGATGTTAAACCCACCACCCTCTGAGCCAGCATTGGCAAAACACCAAACATATAACCAAACAAAGATACATAGAATATATGTATAAGTAAGAGCGAAAAGAAAGGAATGAAACCTCAGAATAGATGTGATCAGAATCAGGGTTAGAGCCGTGAGCAGGCAAACCAAGAGCAGCACCAATATCAGCAACAGCAGGTTGAAGCTCCTTCACAGAGAGTTTGCCATCTTTGTCTCTATCTAACTCATGAAACTTATGATCCACGAAGTTGCTGAAAACTTGCTCATTTCCAACCAACTCCATAATATTGGAACCGTCTAGAACCTGTCCATTTCCACCACTTTTCTTCTTGAGGGTGTCTGAACCTCCTCTCCTACACTCCATTCTCTCCCTTAAACTTCTCCCTTTTCTTGTGACTCTTGTGACTTCCTTGCTCCTCTCGTGATTCTCACACCAGCTAAAGTGACTTCAGTTTGAGATCACCCTTTTCCTTTTCTATTATCTCTCTCGCTTATCCACCATTTTGTTTCTGTTTCAAATACGCCTTCTCGATTATTCATGTGCTTTTATTTATTTCTTATTAACTATTACTCACCAGAATAATTAAGTTTTATTGTATATAGATACTAATACACGGTTTTTTAACGTAAAAGGAATTTTTTGAGAAAAGGGGAGAAGAGAATTAATAAACTAAATTCTTAAACCTTTAATATTAACATCATCTAATTGAAGTGTTAACTTTCAAAGTGTGTTAGTTGAACAACAATCTCGTCATAGTATTAAAAATATTGAATAGTAAGTAAGATAAACATTAAGAAGTTAATACTTGTTAAGTCATACTTTTCTTAAATTTTGAGATAACCTTATGTAAGTTATCAAGTATTATCTTATTCCTACTATAATTTTATTCAAATAGAAAGTCTTATAAATGCTGGTTGAAATTAATTTATTTTAATTTTTCAGTAATAAAATCATTTACAATCATCCAATGGAACCAAGCATGATTTACTTGTGTAATGGGAAAAAGAGGAATGATGAAGAGATCATTAAATCTTTGAACAGTAGTGTGAATCCAGTTAAAATTATTTTAATTTTAAATATTTTTAATAATATTAATCTTGGTGTAAGTCTTGTTTTAAATTGAGTGAATTATTTATTTAAAAAAAATTTGACTTATTTTTTTATACAAAAAATAATAAATTATAATTTATTATATTTAAGTTAAATAAAAAATCTAAGATTGATTGTAAGAGTTATATATATATATATATATATATATATATATATATATATATATATATATATATATATATATATCCTTACCTATCTATAAATGTGTAGAAGCTTTCGAGTGTCTTAAAAAACAATTTTCTTCGCAAAATGGATAGACATATTTGCCGAAAGAAAATATGTTGGTCATGATTGGTCGGCCAATAGTAACTTTTTTCTTTCCGACCTCATTACAGCCAGTTGATTATCGCTTTTTATTTTATTAATAATAATCATTAAATATTATTATTGTCTTCATTAAGTTTTATTAGTCTCTTAGCAATCATATAAAGCTCTAAACTCTGATGGAGACTGCTGTTTTAAAACGTTTTATACTAGCATGAGCTCATAATAATTATTTATAATAGAAAAAAATCATTTTTAATAAATCAAAATTGTTTTATCTACTTAATTATTTTGAAGAAAATAATCATTCAACTTTTAAAAACAATTTGAATTACACCACTTAGTTTGACTTATTGAAAATTTTAATTTTTTATAAATATTTAGTTTAAAATTATTCAAATTAAAGTATTTTTAATTAATTAGAAATAAAAAAATTCAATTAATGAAAATTTATTTAAATTATAAAAATCAAGTGAACCTCTCACTTTTAATTTAATCATTTTTATTCACTATTCTTTTTCATATAATAATAATAATAATAATAATAATAATAATAATATATTTTTGCTTACATTTTTAATGTTACAGGGTGAATATAACATGTTACAAAATAAAATTACTTTTTTGTGTTACTTCAACTTTGGGTGATGAGTGCCAAACTAAACCTTTGGAGAGGAGAATTATGGGACTGATTGGGAGGTAAGGATTGCTCATATATATACAGGAAACTCAATGCTTGTGCTGATCATCTAAGCCAACATAGTGTATGACCAGCTTCCTATAGATTATTAGTGCTATAAAATATAGCATTAAAAGTTTAACTGTGTAAATTTTCCTATTCTCTCTCTTTTATGATGTCTAGTTTTTTTCCCTCTCTTCAGTAAATTTAATAGTCTTAAAACTACCTAATTTTGAGAACTCAATAATCATGTATAATAAAAGGGAAAAAATAATGATATATATGCTTGAGGGCACTACAATGCAAAATAATACTAATGTTAAGGCCTAATTATTCCATCTATACAACTTTAAAGAATAGTATTATTGTATTTATCAAACTTTAGTTACAACATTATTACATTTATATATTAGAAGATATAAGGGTATAGGAGAGGAGTCCTTGGACTTGCTTCACTAGGGCAACTACCAATTATTTATTTATGACAACAAAAAAAACAAGTGATAGAAGAAAAAATGTTAAGAATATAAGAAAACATAAAAGAATGGTTAATGAGTAGTGACAACCACTAATCAAATTGTGGCTGGGACACGTGGGGCGGTGGCAGATCTTACAATATGGATTGGTCTCTCTTTCAATTTTCAAGTGCCAATGCCCACTAAAGTCCAATTTTCATTTTGCCATAGTTGACTGTATCTGCTCCACTTTCATCTAATTGGGATAATAACATTGTGCTACGTGTCTTTTTATTGTTGCCTCTAGAAGATTCCCTCTCAATCTAGGTAATTCTTTTGTGTTTTTTTTCAACCCAAATCAATCTTAACACTACAACTTTTGTATTTGTTTGGTTTTAAATGTGTTTCTTTCAATAGATTTGGTTTTCTCGATTCCTTTTATTTTATGAAATGACACAAACTAAAGGGTAAAACAGAAACTGAAAGTTGGATCAGTCTTATCACTTTACCCACCAAATTGCCCCCAATAAACACTTTAAAATTGTTGGATCTCACTAACCAGTCCTTTTTAGGGATGGCAATGGGTAGGGTATGGGTAGGGTACTATAGTACCCATCCCCATACCCGCATTTTAAAAAAATACACGTACCTAGCCCCATACCCGCATGGGTAGTACTTTTAGTCCCCGTACCCGTACCCTCTGGGTACCTGCATACCCATACCCGCCCCTATTACCCGCGCATGTCTAAGAAAAAAAAGCAGTTATAAAAAAAATATGCTTATATAATTTTACCGAACAAAGTTTAAGTATAAATACAAAATAAATATTCAAAGATCATAAATGTTAAGTGTATCTTAAGACATCAATTTTCTAAACTAAAGTACTTAAAAATCAAACAAAATTACGCACATAATCTTCAAGATCTTGTAAAACAACCAACTCTTAAACTTTTATATTCCTGTATTGTCACTCTGTAAGACCTAAAAAAATAGCATTAGTTAATTATTTATTATAAAGTCAAAATAGTATAGTTAGGCTATTTTACCTCTTCATCAGAATCAGACTCTCCAAATGACTGTAAATGTTTATCTTTCAAGTTTACATATTGCTTTGGTCCAGTAATACCAATAGAAACTAAAACATACAAGTACATAATAAGAAAATCAATAATTAAGCTATCAAATTAAAATTAACAAAAATATTTAATTAAATAAATATATTAATAGAGTATTCAATACCTTCATTTTCATGTTTCAGCCAACTTTGTGCGCACGAGTGCTTCTAAAGTATCTTCATGGAGTCGAGAACGATGAGGACTCAACAATCTACCTCATGTGCTAAAAGCAGACTCTGAAGCAACGGTTGAAATTGGGATGGCCAAAATATCCTTGGCAATTTTTTGCAATATTGGATATTTGATCCCATTTGATTTCCACCACCCAAGGATATCAAAACTAGCACTTCTAGGCAATACCTTCTCTTCCAAGTAGATATCCAACTCAGACTTTGATTGCATATCATTTGTATCTTTAACAAATGAATCATAATCACTTAAAAAATTGTTAACATTAAGTATATCCAAATTCATTTCCGTCTCATTAGACTTTTCAGTTGAACTTTCTACTATTCCCATGGCTTTAGCTTAATAATCTTCAAACAACAAGTAGCATAATTTTTTCACATTGTTAATTTGAAAAGAAGATGAACTTCCATAGAGCTTGGGAAAGAAGTACTCTAACAACTTTAATTTATATCTTAGATCCAAAAAAATGGCAATTCCCATGATTTCATGTATAACAGACCAATATTTCTCAAATTTGGTTACCATTTTTGTAGCCATATTTCTAATAGCCTCAATTGAACAAATTTGCCATTATTGCAGAGATAACTTTATTTCACAAACCAATGGGAAGAAAATATTTGTTGTAGGATATTGTGTCCCAGAAAACATCTCAGTCACACGATTAAAGACTTTCAACCTACTACAAATTTCTTTAGCAATTTCCCAGTCATTTGTTGTAGGGATACATGTATACATATGCTCTCTTGTTTTCAAACAAATAAAAACATCTTTATAAGCCAATGCAACAACAAGCATGTGATAAGTAGAATTCCATCTTGTTTTACAATCAAGTACAAGTTTCCTTGTAATGGAAACTTTGATTTGACGTGCTGCTTCCTTAAAGGTTTGTTCTCTTTTAGGTGTAGCTGTCCAAAAAGCAACACTACTTCTAACTTTCTCTATACCATCTCCAAGAATATTTAAACCATCTTGAGCAATTAAATTGAGAATATGTGCACAACACCTCATATGAAACAATTGACCATCAAGCATAAGAGAAGAACAATCAAGTTTGTTTAGTAACAAACCAACAAGAGAATCATTTGTACTACAATTATCCAAAGTGATGGTAGATAACTTTCTATCAATATTCCAATCTAGCATGCATTCAACTAATACTTTAGACAGAGCTTCTGCTGTATGTGGACATTCCACATATACAAACCTATTAATGTAAAAATAAATTATATACATATATAAAAAATTAAAATAATGCAAATAATTACTAAATGAATATATCATATAATGATCACAAAAATTATACCTCAATATGCGACTTTGCATATCCCAATCATCAGTAATGTAATGAGTTGTGATAGCCATAAACCCTTTCTTTTAATTGCTAGTTGTCCACATGTCTGTTGTTAAAGCAATTTTACTTCCAATCTTCTCTAAGAGTCCCATAGTCTTCAACTTTTCATTCAGATATATTTTGATAATGTCACCTTTTATTGTGTTCCAACTAGGAACCTTGAATAAAGGTTGGAGGCCTTCAGAATATGCTCTAAACCCCAAATGGTCTACTATAGAAAGCGGATACTCATGAATTATTATCATAGAAGCAAGATCTCTTCTAGATTGTTCTGGATCAAAGTGATAATTACTCAAATAAGTGGATGATCCGTCTACTTTCTTTTGTTCTCTCAATAAGATTGATTGTCTTATATCCTTATATGACCTCCTCTTACAAGTTTGAAAGTGTTTATGCAAATGATTTGTTCCATCTGATCTTCTACCTGTCAGTTGCTTGTTACAATAATTGCATATAGCTTTTT